TTTTGACCTTATTATTTTGTAGAGATTGTATTGGGAGGTTTAGATTTACATGCCTGCCATGACCTTGATTGCCTTGAAAGTTATCCCCACTGATTTGCTTTAATTATGAAAGCAATATAATTTAGTTATTCTTATTTTAAAATTCATTCCACTTATTTTGTATATATAAAGATACATATACATACATATAAATGCTAATATTTTTTCTTGATTTTTGGTATAAGCTTTCAAAATTTTTAACATTATCAATGGACTTCATCATGTACAGTGTTGTCAAACTTTTCACATATACAGTCTTTTTGAAGGGTTAAATGATGTGGGTTTCAAAAAAGTAGGTGAGACTACACTATTTCAACATGGTACCTCAGACACTGACTTTGGGTGCATTTATCTGCTGGGAATTATTCATGTTTTACTTCTGTGTCTCTGACAGCTACTCCGGCAGTCACAGCCCTACTAGCAGTGTTTTCCTCATAGTTTCTATTTGTTTATGTTGCCTGTTTCAGGATTGTGATCAGGAGTATATGTAAYTATATGTTTGGTCCACAAAAGACTAAAAGAGCATAGCTTCCCAGATATTGGGTAAAAACACAGTTTTCTTTATTAGTTTATTTGTTTGTATCTTTTAGTGTAGTCTGTGTGAGTTCAGTAGAGCACAAAGAAAAAAAGAAGGGACTAAGAGCTAATCGCACTAAGCCTACAATCTATGAAGACTTAGATGTGCTTATTAAACTATATTAACTAAAGCATAAATAAAACAAGTCATGATTTGTTAATTTATAATAGAAAAAAGTCACAAACTATAAATCTAGGTAACTAAAAAATACACAATAAATTATTGAGAAAGCAATTTTTTACAACATGGGATAATAGTACAGAATTCAAAGTCAGGCTCAATATAATTTTCTATGAATATATGCTTTACTTTTTACTTTATTTTTACAGTATTAATTATTGGATTTTCAAATACACTGGGGGTTTCTTTTCTTTTCTGGTTTTATTTTTTTGTTTGTTTGCATGAGAGATGACTAAATTATATTTGAAAGCAAATAAAATTTACAGTCAAAGAGACCAGAAAAGYGCATCTCAGTTTCCAAATAACCTTGAGCAAATTCTTCAGCTGTATGCACTTTGGTTTCTGTATAGTGATGGAAAACATCCACTTTTCATAGTCCTCATGAGGAAAAAAGGTTAAATGACTGCCCAACTTTATGAAACTAGCAAGAAGTCCGCACAAAAGCACATAGCACAATTCTCAACCCATGSTACATTCTGAATAAATATTCACCATCTTTATGAGTCATAGAACTAGAATTAGACTCAGGTATCCTAGGTCTATGTGTTTTAGGTGCTGTCACCTGTTATCTATCATTTTCACAAAGTACAGCTGAACAGGAACAAGAATGTTATTCCATTATACTTCTTGAATTTATTTTAATAAGTGCATGWTAGTTATACATAAATGTAGAATTCATTATGATTTGTTTATACAAGCATATGACATAGTTTAGATAATCCATTCTCTTTTTCCTCCATTTCCCCCTCCCTCTACTCTTCCCCTTGTTCCCTTCCTCTACTCCACTGTTCCTCTTTCTATTTTCCTGAAATATTCTTCTCTGTTTTTTAATTTTTTTATTTCTCTCTAGSTTCCTCATATCATAGAATACATTTAACTATTTACTTCCTGGCATCTGCTTATTTCACTCAGTATTATGTTATCTTTTTCCATCTATTTATCAGCAAATGACATAATTCCATCCTACTTTATGTCTTGATAAAACTCTGTGTGTGTATGAGTGTAATAGTATACACATATGTGTGTATAGACATATATATAGTGTATATACATATATATATTTTATACTCTCTTCATCCATTTCTCTGTTGAGCCACATGTAGATAGACTGGTTCCACAACTTGGCTATTGTGAACTGTGGAATAAATAATAATAAACATTGGAATGCATGTATTAGTATAGTATGTTCTGTTTCATTCTTTCAGAYAAATACCAAGAAGTGGAATAGTTGGGTCATATGGTGGGATAGACTTATGAGGAATCTGCATTTTGCTTTCCAAAGCAGCTGTACTAATTTGCAGTGYCAACAACATGTAAAAGTGTACTTTTTCTCACATTCTCACCAGCTTTTATTTTTACCTGTATTTTTGAAGATTACCACACTTACTGGAGTGATATAAATTCAGTGACTTTTCATTTGCATTTCCTAGATTTCTAACAATGTTTAATACTTTTTCATATATTTTTGGCTATTTGCATTTCTCTTCAGAGAAATGTCTGTTTAGTTCATTTGCATATATATTGATTGGTTTGTTAGTTTTTATTCTGTATTTTTGTTGTAAACTTTTGTAAGTTCTATATGAGGGGAGTGTGTGTGTGTGTGTGTGTGTGTGTGTGCCTGCATGTATTGGGAATTGAACCCACGGATATGTTTTACCACTTAGCTACACCCCAAATCCTGAAAGAACTTGAAAATATCTTGTTTAATCACTTTTCCTCACAGCTATGCCTAAATCAAGGATCTGCTTAATGAAAATTTTATGCAAATGTGTTACTTATGTGTATAAATTATTGTGAGGGAACTATTCTTAGTTTCATCAAAATTTTCAAAGAACTCTCTGATCAAAGAAAAGGATTGTGATCTATTAATACATACCAAAGAAATCACAATAAATAAAAAGTATTTGAGAAAATCCTGTAGCTGTATATGTTATTTGGGGTGTGTATATATACACACAAATGCAAATATCTATTTATACMCATATTAGTTTGTATCATTTATAATGTCAATATAAAATATATAAAAATTAATTACTTCTTTTTAGAAATTTAAAAATGTTTATTTAAATAAGAAATGTAATAAAATCACAAGTCTAGGTAGTAGAAAGTCTTTTCTTCACAAAGAAAAAAAAGTAAAGTAGAGTCAGTGGAAATTCCCTCTGAGATTTTACTATCATCACTTACAAACTAAATACAATATTATACTATAGAAATACCTTCTGTTATATAGATGCTAAGCTACCTGAAAGATATTTACAATATACATGCAGAATATGTTTTGCATATATATAAAAGTAAGCAATTCTAGTCAAAGTATGACAACTCTCAGTTTAAGAAAAGCCTTGTATTTTTCTATGTCATTTGTCAGATTTCATATTAATATGTAGGGTCTCTCAGCAAAGGAGTCATTATGAGATAAATCTTACTAACATTTAACATATGAAATGTTTGGCACAATTATTAGCTCTGTTTATTAAATCAATATGAGAAGTTACATCATAGATAGGCAAGAATGAATTCTTAATAATGATATGTAGAAACATGGTATTTAGATTTTGTCAAAGTAAAATGTGCATAATTGGGAAAAGACAGGTATAGGTTCTATCACTTCACCATC